TTTTTTTTGAGTTGCGCCGTGCGACTGCTCAATATCTCGTGGAGAAAGTTAACTTTTAAAGGCACAGTTCACGAAAAATGATTTCTGATATTTTCCCGTAGGATGAATTCGAGAGCCCTTCTTATAACATATGTGCCGATGTAAGGTAAAGAAACATCTTGGATAGGGCACAATAAGGGGGCAGACCTTGTATCGTGCGAATGCCACACCCATAGCGTACGAGTCTCAATGGTGATGTAAAAGCTGCACTATCTCAATGGCCTCGCATGGTGAAAGTTAAAACAACTTGTCGTGACCCATGGCGACAGTGGAATATAGTTTTAGACAATTTAGACTTATGTAACCAGCTCTTTGCGCAATCGTAATGACTTACATCTCGTCCGAATACAACTTTCATGCCTATCCGTCATGGTAATCTCGTACAACTTCTAGTGCCACTAATCTTAGAAAGTCTTATTTTTCGCGAAGAAGAGAGTGGAATGAATCGGGAATGAATAATTGTGACTTCAGAAGCTCAACAAAAACTCACTTTAATCGGTGCATATACCAAGTAGGGCCTGTCACGTTTGTAGTAGCAGTAGAGCTTTGAAATGTCTTTTTCGCTCTGAAATGATCTGCTAAATTAGAGTTTTAGGATCAAATGAGAGCAGAAAAAGCAAGGTACATACCACAGGCACTTCGTTCCTACACAGGGCCTCGTAGATGGTTCGCTCTTCATTACCCAATACACTTTGTGGTCGTTCGTTTACCACTCGACCCAATGATCTGAAGCCGATTCCTGATTACTGCGACATATCAAATACAACAAGAAGCTTCCCTCCTACCTTCTCATATCATAACTCTTTACACCTTCCTTAGCCAAGTAATCTTCATAGAATTTGATATTTCCCTTGGCACGAGGATGGTTGGGCTCTGAAAAATTGTATTCTCAAGACAAGTAACGACTAAAGCAATAACTCGTGAAATATGATAAGCCAGTGTTTACTGCATTTTAGATACTTCATTATGCACTGAAGACTAGGTGACTCTGAGCGTCAGCACTGCTAAAAAAGAGAACGCGCCAAGGGCTCAGAGGACGCAGCTTTTTGCTTCCGTTTGTTAATATAGTAATATAGCAATTATATTGAGTTAATGCGATATTTTTTGCTACCGTGTTTGATACTTCCGTATTTCGTTTGCATGGATGTTGGTATCTCGCCATTACGTGGGCGTGATGTATGCATGATACTCTTTCATCACACTAGCTATCACTCTCCCATTCTACGGGAGAAGGGCAGTGGGAACGGTTTTGTGTAATCGATCCGCCGCGCGCGGCTGTCGCGTACCATTAGTCTCGTTATAACAGTTCACGCGTTCTTCGTACAGATCAATCGCTATGCGATTATTACTTATGGCATGATTTTACTGTCACTTCTTTTCTTCCTGAATTCCTTACTCGTTGCTGCA